AAGACTGTTGACATGATGTTATAGTGTCGGTTGCTCTCCATAAAAAAGGAAAATTATGCTAAAATATGGCATAAGAATTGTCTTGCAGACTCCATAGGGAGTATCTTTTCGTCTTACAATCCGTCACGTTTCATATACATTCGTGCTAGTACATTTTTCACAGCTACATTATACAGTGACTATGCATTTATTTATATCTAATGTAACTTATTTATACGCATAATTTCCTAGAATTTGTATTCAAAAAGTACCTGACTTCAATATATAATTTCCAAGTTTCAATTCTCTCAAGTAACATTTTCCCGTACATAATCCTGGAAATTATAAATCCCACCTCCATACACTTTTGTTCTCCAAGCCACACACAAGCATCAGATCTGTTTAGACATTCCAAAAATATTCGCACAAGACTCATAAGCTTCGCATAAGCTCAGACATGAACCGACAGAAAAAATAAACGTGGTTTAAGCTCAAATTCGCTGCAGTTATAAATCTCTTGGTTTTTATTTCTTGATCCTTTTGAAAGAACGAAAGAAAGAGTGTTATAGAAGAGGTAAAGAAAAAAAGGAACCAACCTATAAAAGTAGTATGAAATTTATTGAAATTTATTTCATCTGTTATCTATGTTGCGTCTAGAGTCTAGACAAAAGTGTGTTAAGAATGCATGAGAAGGAGTAAATGAGAATCACTGGGATAACGTGTCGTATGAGCCTGAGGTGCTCCACTCTCTTATCCAGGATGTCTCTTGATGATACATACTAGTAAGGAAACTAGACCTTCCCTACTATATCCATTATATGGAGGTCTTGGTGGTTGAGTTGCGTAGTAAATAGAGAAGGGGAATAAAGAAGCAACACCGGTGAATCGTCGATAGAAGCACGTGCTTGGCTGTTGAGATTACTTGATCCTACGTAGCAGGACAGGAAGTAACAGCCCGTTATATTCGTTTAGCGACAGCTTGGCTTCCGGAGTTGCAAACTCTTTTTAGCATGCACCTCCTTGGGTGGCATAGTTAAGTGACATTTGTCACTAATTTAAATTTGGATTTCATTTTAATCCTTACTCTCAAAGGTCGATGGACTATAAAGAGAAGAGACGAAATGATGATGAAGAAAAGCTTGAGTTCCTTCTGACAAAATGCACATTGAATTATGAATGAGTTTTAGTACAGTGGAAGTAATGCGACAAGTGAAAAGCGAATTCGTGCCTCAGAATAAGAAGCTGAAGAAATGAGAGTTTGAGAAGAAGAAGAAGAAGAAAAGATTTTGTTTAAAGGTGCTTGGACTTGGATTATAAAAGCAACGTATATTCGAGTGAAAGAATGAGCAAGAGAGATGCCAATAAAATACGTGACTGTGCAACCACGACAACAGCCAGTAGACATGCTCCGTTCGAAACGAGTTCCACGGTGTTTAATTCGTGCAAGAGAGTTTGAAAAGACTTGAAGACAAGTTGATTAAAGAATTTCATTTATCACGAATTAAAAATCGTGTTTTAGATTACTAAATTGTCGGATAATTTACCAGAACATTAAATTATTTTAATTTTTAGAAATAATACTTTCTTATCATGTCTATTTCTTGTGGTTTATATTTTCTATTCATTTTCATTCACTATTCATATCTTTTTACCTCAACTCCAAAAAATTTTCTGAACTCATAAATTAGTAATTAGTATTTTAAATTTTAATTATCAACTTTTTCATTTTAATGTTAATAAATATTCATCATAGAAAGTTTTTTATTAAAAAATTCTACTAATTTTTAATCATCAATACAATTAAAAAAAAAAAAAGGTTGGAAAAAATATTTTTTCAGGCCAATTATTGGTTAATTAAATTTTTAGTATCCTTCAAATTGATTCAATTGAGCTTTTATTTTTTCAAGTAGTTGTTTACTTGAACTAATAAGAGTCATTGTAGAAAAAAAAAAAAATAATTGTCAAGACTTATATTAAGGTAATAAGCAATTGAATCAATTTTTTCCCAATTTAAAGTTTTATCTGAGAGAAAGAGAGAAAGAGAATTACCCCTTACGATAGAGAAGAGAATATTTTTCTACAACGGTCGTATTTCTTAGTGTTCTCACCTCCTCTACACCGTGAAATGTAAGCACGTGGGAAAGAACTCTCGCTTCTTCGACAATTTTATTTCCTATACAGAAAAGAGAAGAATGGCTGATCGAACAGTACAAATAGTTATAAACCACTCTAATAGCTAACTACCGCATTTTACTAATCGTTTTTCGGCTTTGTCTGTGAATAAAAATTCATCAGATATAATCAATGAGTACAATTTATTTTGTCACGTAGCCATGGCGTATAAAATAATTAATCCAACGGTCAATGATCCGATAAACGAACAAGAAGTGAAGGGGAGAACCATATAAAGAGATCACACTACACCACCTTGTAGGGGATGCTCCATTAATGGGTCGAGAACGATGCAAGAATAAATTATTTTCTATCAATAAATCTCCTACTGAATTAAAATAATAATGAGTTGATTAATTCATCATAGAGTAAAAGGCGAAAATTTTTCATTTTAAACCAAAAAAAATTTACTTCAAATCTGTTTTATCATAATACTGTCGATAAAATAGATAATATTATTTTTATGGTTTTGGAATGATTTACCATCAAAAGAGAAATAGAGGAAATTTTTTTATCGACTGTAGAAAAATAGTATTTGTCAAATTTAAATGACAAATAGGACTTTCATGTCACAATGAATGAAACATACTCGAGAATCAGATCTTTGTTTCATTTTTACATCCTGTTTTCATGTTTCTATTATCTTTAATAAGACACACGATAAACAATGGTCAATTATAAAGTCATATAGCCTTTCACATTAGAGTTGTATTGTGCGTCACCATAAAGATTGTTCTTCATATTTTTTATCTTCTTGCGAACATGTACAATTTATTCTCATGCGTGGGGTCTTGAATATTTTTCAAGATATAGGTCTGTCGGTAGGTGTTTTTGACTTAGAAAGTCGTCCATTGCTAGATTATTGTTATTATTATCAATAACAAGCTTACCTCGCCCATTTTTGCAATTAACTTTACTTGTGCAAGAGTTTCGAGGCAATGATCTAATTTTCGACTCACCTGTAACAGACAAATAAAACAATACCAATTACAATTGTGACATTCAATTCTCTGGATGATTAATTGACAAGATTGTTTCCGATTTTAAAGTTACCAAGCAAATCTGAATGAGGACCAAACCAACACACGTGTCCACCTTTTTACATGTACTGGGGACAACTTTTTCGCGACGTTTGCGTATATAACAACTTTAATGGGTTCGCTGACCATATCGGAGCACACGCGCTCCAATTCCCCTCACCAACATTTTATTTGACTCTTGCTCTGTACTGGACCAACAACCGAATCAGAGGGAAAAAATTGTTATAACCTTCGGGTATGACTTTTACAAATACCAATTAATTTTGCTATTTATAAATAATTCATTACTTTACAGCTCCAAATGAGTCAATGTTTCCTAAAAGTATTCTACAGTTTCTTTCTTTTACCTAATTAATTTTTTTCGTTAATCGACCGACTTAATCGGTCAAAGAAAAGATTTAATGTTCTGCTGTTGTTCTACTATACTTAACGATGATGTTTGCGTGTAGAACTAGTGAAAAAAAAAACAACTACCGCACATGTAACGGACTTGGACTCTTGTTTGGGTGTCAATAATGATGATGAACTGTGTGTATAAAAGTGTTTACAATCTTATTTTACCCCAAAACAGTTAAAATAAACGTACATTTATATCTCCTTAATAAATAAATCCTTTTTAGAGTTTTAATCTTCATTGAAAAATAAAAAATATATTTTAAAAAATATATCTCAAGATTAATTAACTTTATTTGGAATTTTTCAGTGCGCGAACAGTGAGTCTATGATTGAAAATTCATATCACGCACTGACAAATCACTCCCGTGGGGACACTAAATAACTGATAGGCCGTTTAGGCCGCTGGACAGTTGGAACGTGTCACTAATAAACTGCCTCAAGTAGAGGTTGTGTACGTGAGTAAATATTAACGCGATCCTGTAGTCACACCGTATGAGGTACTCAGCTGCGTGCCACGCCAGCTATTCGAATAAATATATGTACACTTCGCCCTCATGTGACAATCCCCACGCAAGGTGCAACTATCGATGCATAGCTTTTCAAAATGTATATCATACTAGCTTTCTGATTTTATTTAGACCCCTCTTTTGGGGTAGATGACCAAATGTATCCCCTTCTTTTTGTATTCGTTGATTTTAAATGATAAATTCCTCTTTAATTACCTTCGAAATATTTTTTTGTTATTTTAAATAACTACCTCAACAAATTAATTCCGGTCATTAAACTCTGATAAAAATTAAATTCAAATTTGAAATAAATTATAAAGGTATTAAATGAAATTTTATTATAAAATGAATGTCATTTATTATTAAAAAAAAAGAGTGAATGATTTCTAAAGAAAAATTCTGCTATTAAATAAAATGTTCAATTTTATTGATCAATTAATCATGACAGTATTTCAAGAGGCATCATTTATATCAATGAATAGCATGTTGAGTTTCCAAAAATTTCCCTTTTATATAATTTATCAATTTACAAAGATGTGTTCTAGCTTCTGAATTTTACTAAACACCAATAGAGTCGTAAATAACCATAAAAACCCTCATATGTATCATCAATGATTGCATCACCAGCTGGAAACCTGTCTAGAATAATTATTCTACTTCTGACGCATAATATTTTAATCCCTATATACATTATTACACAACTATGATAAATTTCACTCGAGTCCTTTTGCCAAGTTTATTCAATAATAAAATGTCAAATCAATAAATAATAAATAAATAATGATAGACTTAAAGGTAATATCAAATGTGTGTTAAACTGTTCACATTTAGCCTTTTATTTTCTATCAATGAATCAATTTATTATGGTGATTATTTATCAAATGAATCAAATTACTTGAAAGTGTACCTGATTCAGGATCATCAGTGTCAGCTCCACGTAGACACGAGTGAAAACTTCTGGAGAGTCTGCGACCCCCTGGAGAAGTAGCTTCATTAGATACTGCAGAATTCATATTTATGTGCTTTAACTTAGCACTCACGACTTCTTGTAGCTTGTAAATAATTAAATTATAAACAGATCTAACGTGCAAGTATAATTTAAACCTGCTTTTAACTTTTTCTTTCACTTATGTTACTGCACAAGTAATGTTTCTGCAGATTCTCAATAGCTGCTTTCTATTCCTATGGTTTCAAGTGTTCTGACATATAGCCTCCTCCACACATACACATGACAAAAAGGCGGAACTCAAGGATCTGCTTTTGACTGTCATCTACACCGGACGTCCAGCTGCCGTTACCTGCTGTTTCCTGTGTCCCTCTTCTTTGAAAAATTCCACCAGCACTATTTCTTTATAGTCTCCTTATGGTTCTTTATTATAGAAATTTACTTCTTTAGTATGTAAGGTAGTCCAATCAGTTGACATCTTTACGTCATCCATTTACATTTATACGACCTACGACGTAGTCCCCACACTTCTTATCCCATTTTTCATCACATTTTCCCTTTACTTGGAAAACTTATTCTTGTTGGTTTATTTGTAATTCTTTTTATTCCTATTAAAACAATTGTTTCAACGTCGTTAAGCTTTATACCAGTTTTTAAAACTTGTCTTTAATAAAACAGTAATTAATATCACTAGTATTTATGATAATTTTTCATTAAATTAACATAAAATAAAAATATTTACTCCATTTTAAATGGTTATGGAGCTTTTATTCTTTCAAAGTAACTCTAGCTTGAAAAATTTTATATATTTAGTTTAAATATATTTTTTTTCTTGCTGTACAACAGTAAGCTTGTTAGAAAAATAATTAAACCATTAAACAATTTCGTAATAAATGCTTTTTTATTCTTCACTATTTTCTGTTGTCGTTTACCGGTTTTGTTATTTTTTTTTTTTTTTTTGTTGCTCATTGAAATTGTTTTCCGCTGTTTCTTGTCAAGCGAAACAATAGTCAAAGCCACATAAAAATTGAGTCGCAGTGATTAGCTTTAGCTAATGAAACAAACGCGTATTCCGTATCGTTATCTCTTTTAGTCAAGGCTACAACGAAATATGAATTGAAATATCAAAGCAGCGGCATTCTCAGTTGTGCGAACGCGACATCCGGTAAATAAATGTGTCCACTCTGTCCTGTTCATTTCAATAACTTTACTCACATGGTGGTGGGCGTTGTCTTTTTTTTTTTTATTCACTCATCAGTTCTTACGAATTTATCTAAGCCGCCAACACAACATGTTGGAGTATATAGCACATAGTATTTTAGATGAGATTGAGTGTGTAATAAAATTCAAGAATATTTGTTCAAGCTATTATACACATGGAACGGAAGTGCATATAAAGTACAGTGTAGGGTTTCTTTCCCTTGCTTATTTACCACCTGGACGGTTGTTGTAATCACAAAACAGGTGTTGAGCTTCATGTGATAGACCAACGTGAAGAGAGTAAAGAGTCTTGATGGCCACCAACACACAACACTAAAGTGTGTTATCGTAAAGTTATGATAAAGCCAATTATCTCTTACGGAAACTCATGGAACTCATGTTCGAGACTGCACGACGTCTTTTCTGTTGTATTCTCTGCGTGAGGTTCTCCTCTTGATGAATAAAATGACGTCAGTCTGATTTCAACGAAGCCGAAGACATGTTTAACACAATTATATACGTATTCTATTCACAATTGTCAGTCAAGCACATTCTTAAAGCTTGTTACTTGCTTAGCTTATAGATATTTTCTTTCTTTCTCACTTTATAATACACTCTACTTCATATTTTCTTCAACTTTTCTTATTTTCAGTAGACACAACAATCCTGATGGCGCGGAAAGCAAGAACTTGAACACAAGGAATCAGCTTCCAAACGAGCTGCAAAACTCCAAGGACATCACGTACTGAGACAGGATTAATATAAAAACATCAGCTTGTCACTCTAAAGATGCTTTGTTCTTTTGTATCTAACGTTGGCCAAATTTTTTATAACACTTTCTTCTTCATTAATACTTGAACGTTTTTTTATAAACACTCGTATCGGTATCACTTGATAACAATTCAGCTGTTCGAAATTATTTTCACTTTATATTGATGTTGATGTCCATAAGTATTGTGTTTATTATTATTCGAGACATCTATGATGGACTGAACAGTGTGGAACACTGAAGTCTGCCATGTTTTAGTCTAAATACAGTGACAACACCAGAAACAACACTTTTGGAATATAAAGAACACGATCCGAATTCACTCGGAGCAACGTTGAAACTAAACTGCTGAGACTTGCGGTCGGCATGTGTAGAATAAGTGGGAGACGCGCGTTGCCGAACCAAACCGAACGAACGCATCGCAGTGCCCGTCTCTATATTTGTTACAATGCGATCACATCGTTTTATCTGTGTGAGTTTTAGAATGTGATGGTTCATTGCGGGATTGCAAATAAAAGCTTTCACTAATTACCATCCCTGATCTCTTTTTTTTTATTGTTTTCAAGTTTGTTCATTTGTTTGGGTATCAGGTATTTTATTTTTTACAGAAATATTCTTCTAAAAAAGTAATTAATGTTCACACAGTATGTCTTTATTGGAAAAATTCATTCAATAATTAAAGAAATTTTTTTCAACGAATTGCTCGAATATTTGGTTAAACAGAGGTAAAAATATGAATTGGAGTAAATGAAAAATTTCAATATGCAAAAGCTATGAAAGCTTGTTAATTGTAGATATAAATTTCATTTAATTTCTTTGTTACTATAATTAAAAAAAAATATTTGCATAATAAAAAATGATGCAAAATAAATCAATTCGCTTCTTTTATTGGAAGCTGATATTTTATTTTTAATTTGATAAATAAAGCAAATGTTAAGATAATTTTTTAATGCAACTTAGAGGATAAATAATCAGATAATTAATTTGATTAATTGTTATCTTGTAAGTGTTATCAATAATTTTGAAATCTCAACAGCTTGTTATCTAAAAAAAAACTCTAAAATTTTCAGAATAAATTTATAACAAAAATGAATAATTAGAATTAAAGAACAATAATTGCTTGTGTTATTTTCGACTTTATTTTATTTATTTATTCATTTTAATAATTTTTAATTCACAACATTCCACTTTAATTTTAAATTGCTCTAAATATAAATTGATGATTGAAAAAAAATTTATTTATATTCACAACTAATTAAATGATGAATAAAAATAAATTGACAATCACAATACAGATAAACTGATTGATTGGATGACTAGAAGAGCAGATAACAAGAAAATGAAATTTCATGTCAGAAGTTTAGCAGTAAAGTCAAATTATTGGGAAATGGTTTGATAAGTGTGTCACTTATCAGTCACTTTAAAGTAAAATTGGTCTAAAAAATCGACCTAGATTAGTAGTACATATGGAAAGAAGCAAATAGGCTGATGGTGTTTTATCTAAATAACCTTACAACGACTATGAGTTACTTAAGTTCATTTTAACTAGCAACCCTATCAACTCTTTTGGTTTACCGCACTCTTTCTCTGCATACAGCATAAAACAGATGCACACGCGAGTGCCCCAGTTGAGAGTCTATATTGCATACACGGTTATGGCGACCACTATTTTTAGAGCATCGTGTGCATGACGGTCCAGTCCTCAAAGTGTGCATATGTATAGCATCGTTCATTTTCTTATGCTCAAATGAAAAAAAAAACAATATTCCACCAGTCATTTTTCTTTCTAAAAGTTCAAGTTTTATTGCTCTAAACACAATAGACATGTCAGGTGCATACCAGTTAACTTCAATGAAGAAAATTTATAAAACAAAGAAATTGTTATAACGCTTTCACCCACTGGGATAGATTTTTCTAGACTATTATCATCATTCTCACGCTCAGTGATACTTTATGATGCTCTTGTACTTATACTAATTATGTTTAGATGCACATTAAATTTTTAAAGCCTCATAGAAATCATTTGTAGTTGTTTGTAACAAAAAAAGAGTAATATTTCAGCATTAACTACTTTATAAGTTGAATAATTATTTTTTATGGCATCACTTGCGATCTTTATAACTCTCTAAAATTTATCATCAGTAATCATTTCAAGTTGAGATAATGATTTAATTACATTTTTCACTAATAAATTAAATTAAATGCTCCTTTATTAAACTTTTCATTTTCTAAAGCCTTTTATAATTATTCGTTCAAGTTCAAAGTTGTGATATTAAGTTTTAATCATCTCAATGGTCTTGAATTATTGATCCAAAGAATATTAGTATTATATTTGAATATTTTAAAATATTTAAACTGAATAAAAAATACTTCTAAAATAGAGGTAAATGTTAAATAATTATTTAAATTATTTTAAACTTCATGGAAACGTTTTGCCATTATTTTAAAACTCATTTTAAATGTTAAACACTTTGTACAGGTTTCTAAGTAATTTCTCGGCATTAATTTAACAAGAAAAAATCCCTGAGAGACCCTTTAAGAGGATTATTTACAGCAAAATATAAAAGAGTAAATGGGTAGACCTAAAAAAATATTTTTTCGCAGAAAAAGAATAATTGTAAAAAAAAATAGGTATAGATCACAGTAGAGCAAGGTGTCACGTAGTTCGCGTGCTTTGATAATTTTCACTTGTAGATAATTGACTTTAGTCGTCAGCGCACGAAAGACAAAGCAACTCACCTTTACAATTGTCCTCATTCTCGGGCGGAGGGAATCCTCGGGGTAAAGACAAAGACTTTAACTCACCTGCAATAATAAAAAATAAATAATAAAATATAGTAATTTAATAAACGTAACATTATTTAATAATACAAAGTTTTAATTCAATTTATTTGATCATGTTCTATCGCTTTATCATGACAAGTAAACTTTGAATATATTCAATTACAGTATAACATCATTTGAGTTTTGATGCAATGCAGACTCTCGAAATGATGTTTCTCTATCTCTTATGCAACTGGACTCACATCAATCTAACTTCTACTTGGCTTTACTTTGTGATGCTTATTATATGTACATTGATTAAATAACCAACATTCACACATTGATTCTATCTCTTTCTTTTTTTTTTCTCATTGTTCATCATCTATTTATAGTAATTGCATGATAAAAAAAAATTTTAATTAACTACTAGAATGCTACTTGAAAAAATTTTTATAATCCAACTAACAAGCCACTATATTTTTCTAAAAATCATCTTAATAAATACAGAGAAAAAAATAGCTATCTAAAGAGAAGAAAAATAAAAATAATTGTCATATTTTAAAAAGAGAATTTTTTTTAAATATTATTTTTAGCACAGATGTTTCAGTAATTATGTAAGATTGTAGGAAAGTGAAAAGATGTTAATTATGGTTATTAAATAATTATTTTTTATAATAATTAAACAAGTAAATAGAACGATATTTTAACCATGAATATCTAGTTATTTTGATATACCTATGGTAACATTTATTTACAATTTAATAACAGTTATTGAATACATAAATTTTGTCACAATATCAAATCATTCCTGAATAAACGTGAAATTAATTTAAATTATAGCTGGAAATTTGTTTTTGATTAATAATTTACTGACGTTTGCAATTTATCATGTCAGCATTTCAAAATAATCCATTTCCTGAATCAAACATAGAGATAAAGAGAATATATTTATATTTAAAAATAGGATTAGCAAACTTTAAGTGGAACTCAGTTTAGCTGATGATTGAGACACAAAAAATCACAGAAAAATTAAACTTAAAATAATACAAATTATGACCTGAATAAATATTCTTATTAGCAAAGGAAAGAAAAGCTTCCAACTTCAATTCATTTTCAATACACAAAATGATTTAATGTTCTATAATTAAAATTAATCTGTTCATTTGATTGAACTATTATTAAATAATAGCATCGATAGGATAATATTATTAGAACACTTTATCTCCTGGAAATCCATTTCACTTCGATTCTCTAAACATGTAGAACACCAAGTTAGAGTAAACATTTCATTAAAAGTTTATCAGAGAAATAAAATATTGATCCAATGTTTATATCAACTTCTAATAGTGTCAAAGGAAGTTTAAGAAAATATTATTTTGCACGTCTCGATAAGAATTAGTGTACAGCATGAATATCTCTAGTGTAATCAGGTGAAAGTCCTGTTGTTTTTGTTGGAACAAACATCAATAAGACCACCGTCCTACTTCCGGACTACCGGAAGTTGGGTCGCCACATCATCCGGATATTCGTATTACTTGAAAATAGTCTGTGTGCATCAGCTATGTATAAGATTGAAATTTGTGTTGCTATGTAGGTTACATCTCTATACAATTCACTTCATAATAATATAAATTATCCTTAAAATATTTCTAAAGTTTAGTTGCTCTGCGGCAATCATAAAAATACAATTGGCTTTTCTCCAAAGTCGATCACGGATGTGTAAACATGGGAAAACCGCTTCAATGTATTGCCGCAGTATTAAACGGACGCCAAAAGTAAAATAAAGTATAAAGTAACGAATAGAATGAAAGAGAAGAAAGAACAGAGGATAAGAAGTCAAACGGAAGGTGGGGGCGACTAAGTGGGACGAGGTGAAAGAGAATATCAATTTTCTTAAGTTTTCGTCTATTTTTTCATTATTTTACTTCCTGTTTTATTAAATATACATACACTTCACTAGCTTTTATCTATTAGCATTATAAAGGACTCTAGGTAAACATAAAAGCTTCTTATTTATTTACTAATTGTTATGGTCTTACTTTATATAATATCAGAGTAGAGGTACATAGAGAGTCGTTCATAGAACGTAAGATGACACAAGTGTCTTGATCAATATTTTATATTTTCCTTCCTATTACATATTTGATTCTTTCTTTTTTTATGTAACTTACAATTGTATTTTACTATTGTAGATTTACTAATTAATATAATTAGAGTAATGATCTGTGACATTTCACAGAATTATCTTATTCTTTGACATCACTTTGTATCACAGAAGTTAATAATAATATTTATAATTGTTATTATTATGTAATTATATAAGCTTTGAAGTGATCCATAAATAAAGTTGCATAAATCCAATAATTTATCAATCGATCTTTTAGACTAGGACGAGGAGATGTTTGATGAAGAATAAAATAGTTATTAAAAATAAAAATGGTCTCTTTACATTGATTACAAGGTATGAGAAAAAATTACTTTTATATAAAATTATATAATGCAGAAAAAAATTACTAAATTTACCAACATGGATCATCAAGTCTTTTTTGTAATTTTAATAATATTAATTTTTTATTGATTGCTATATTTACCAACTTATAAAGGTTGAATCATATAAATATATAGATATTTAAAGATTACTTATATTAAAGTTAAATAAAAAAAAATACTATGTAACCTGACTTTAACTTTAAAAGTCGATGGAATAAAATAAATGATACAAAAATAAAACTTACAGGACAACAATTTGGAATGAGGATCAATTTTTGCTGTTGAAAGGCATGACAATTCTGGGAGATATGTATGACGATGACCATATCCTCTTGCTGGTAAAG